AAAATATATATAAATTATAAAATATTATAATATTAAATATGAACTGTTCAAAATATATTTATATAGTCAATTAGTTAAAATTATAAGATTTTTAAGATTAAATTGGACTTTTCATATCATATCTATACTATCTAGAATACATCTGAATAGTTAATTTGTAAAATTTATTAAAAATAATATTAAATTAAATTATTTAGATTAAATTTGTACTGGTCAAATTGGTAATAAACAAATGTATTAAATATTTCTATATTTTTTTACATATTTTTATTTTAATAAATATAAAATAAAAGTAAAAAGCTTAAATTTAGACTATTCATATCTTATCAGAGGTGATGAATATCATGATATTTATTCTCTACTAAGCATAAAAAATGGTCCATATTTAATATTATAATTTTTTAAATTTTTATTTTAATAAGTATAATATAAAATATTTAAAAATAATTTCAAGTCAACAGCAGAGATCATTTCCAAAAATAAAAAAAATCAATGGTCCAGATCGTCCTTGAGGATGATGAGCACGCGAATGTATTTCCGAACATAAAATTATGACAAAGTGCGGGAAGTCGTTCTTCAATTTATCTTTTTTTTTTTTTGGGGGTTGGCCAAACCGTTCATCACTCAAAGCACATTTTTCTTTTTTTCAAACCAAAAGTTTATAACAAAGGATAATCTACAATTTTAATTATAATTTTTAAAGATATTTGCCAGCATTACATTCTAATTATAGAAATATATTTGATGAGATAATCCACAATTTCTCTTTTCACCTTAAATTTCAAAAAGGTGAAATGATAATATTTGCGTTTTGTACACCTAATCCTAGTTAAGTCATAACCATTCTATTTTACACAAACACAAACACATCATTAATATATATATATATATATTGAAACAGATGTTGAGCATTGACGTTCTTGTAACTCTTCCCATCCATAACTTCAGCCATAACCTCCATAACTCCTCAATTAAACAATTGTAACTTCTCCATTTTATGTTAAAGCTTTGTCTCCTCCATAATAGTATAAATAGGACCTTTGTTTTCCTTGTAAGGCATCTCATATCCAAGCAATAAAGCATAATTTTTTTTTCCATTGGTTTCTATACCATTTTGGTATCAGAGTATAAGGCTAAAATTTTGAACTTCATAGCCGATGCTCTCAGTCGTTGACATGTATTGCTCACAATAATACAAACCAAAGTTGTTGGGCTTGAACTTGTCAAAGAACTGTACTAGGATAATTTTAATTTTTGAGAAGTGTGGGAAGCAACTACAAATCAATTTCTCTACCAGTTTATAGATGTGATAGATTTTTGTTATAAGGCAAAACAATATGCATTCCTTAGGGTTCCTTGAGGGAGGCTATAATTTGGAAAACTCATGACAAATGACTAGCTAGTCATTTTAGAAGAGACAAAACAATTGATCTAGTTAAAAAGAATTTCTATTGGCCAAGGCTTGAACAAGATGTCAACCGGCATATATAGTGATGTTGAATATGTCATTTAGCTAAGGCCAAGAGTCAAAATATAAGATTTTACATGTCATTGCTAGTTTCAAAACCACTGTGGGAAGATGTGAGCATGAATTTTGTTCTTGGTATACCACAACTCAAAGGCAGAAAAATTCTGTCATGGTAGTTGTGGATCAATTCTAAAAAATAGCTCATTTCATTCCATCCCAAAAGATCAATGATGTTGTTCAAGTAACAGATTTGTACTTTAAAGAGATTGTTCGTCTCCATGGCATTCCCAAAACTATTACTTTTGATCATGATGTTAAGTTTCTTAGCCACTTTTGGTTGATACTATGAAAGAAGATGAGAACTAAGCTTCAATTTAGCAGTGCTAGTCATCCCTAGATGGACAGTTTTACTGAAGCTATGAACAAGGTTCTTGGCAATCTTCTTCACAGTTTTATGGGGAAGAATTTGAAGTAGTGGAATCTTATTCTTGCTCAAGTTGAATTTACTTATAATAATTCTATCAGCTAAGCAATTGGGGAGTGTTCATTTGAAGTTGTTTACAAAACTCGTCCCCTTAGTGAGGAAATTAAGGAAATTAAGAAGTTATATGAGCAAGTTTGTGAACGAATCTAAAAGCAAAACTTAAGATACAAGACTTAACATGACAAATGTTGGAGACAACAAACTTTTAACGTAGGAGACTTGGTTTGGATACATCTGAGGAAAGAACTTTTTCTTAAACAACTAAATGTCAAGTTGTCTCCAACAGCTAATGGTTCATTCAATATTGTTCAAAAGATTAACAGTGCTTACAAAGTGGAACTGCCTGATGCTTATAGAGTGTCTACCACTTCAATGTTGTTGATCTATCTCCTCATGTTAACAATGATGCTAAATTTGAGGGTGAGTTCTGTCCAACCTGGGGAGAATGAAATGGATGTTGAGCATTGACTTTCTCGTAACTCTTCCCATCCATAACTTCAACAGTAACCTTTGCAACCCCTCAATTAAACAATTGTAACTTCTCCATTTCAAGTTAAAGCTTTCCATTCTTTAGTTGTATTCAAAACTCTGACTCTTTCTTGTGGCTTCTTGACATTTAGTAGCCACTATTGTGATAGTTGTGATTTCTCTTGTCGCTGGTGGGATTCTCTTTTATTTCGCTTACTATCTCTTAAAGATTCGAATTAAGAAGAGTCATAGGGCTGTTCTCAGGCACAAATACTGTAAGTAATTTTTATTCCATCTATTTACTCTTACAAATTTTGATTGGAAGTCAAACTATATACTTTATTTGTTTATTTATCTATTTATATGTGTTATTTGTCTAGTTGGAAGGGAAAGCACAACTTTAGAGCAACTGTAATTCAGTCTAGCTACAATTGAGGCTGCAACAAATAAGTTTTCTCCTAAAAAAAGTTTAGGGAGAGGTGGATTTGGACAAGTTTTCAAGGTGACAAATGCCATCAATTAATATTGTAAATGTTTTAATTATATGTGTGCATATATTCATTTTCAATATTCGTTACAATCCAATTAACTAAAAACTATTCTAGGGTATTTTTTCAATTTAAGAATGAGGTTTTATTAGTAGCTAGACTCTAGCATAGAAATTTAGTAGTGTTGCTAGGATTTTGCATTGAAGAGTGAGAGAAAATACTTGTCTATGAATTTGTCCCTAACAAAAGTCTTGATTACTTTTTATTTGGTCTGAATCTTCTAAATTCATTTTAACTTCTATTTGAAATTTGTGCTTCATTCATGCCATGCATTTTATTAATTATTTCGTGCCTTTTGTTATGTACATATATAGGTTCCTAAAATAGCGGAGTATTACATTGGATGGAGTGTAGCAAAATTATAGGAGGAGTTGCTCGAGGAATTCTTTATCTACATGAATATTCTTGTCTCAAAATTATACATTGTGATTTCAAACCTATCAATATTTTGTTAGATGATGAAATGAATCCAAAAATTTCATATTTGACATTGCATTTTCTTTTCAAGTATATGTCTCCAGAATATGCAATATTCAGATAATATTCTGAAAAGTCAATTGGTTTTAGTTTTGGAGTTATATTTTTAGAAATTATCAATGGAAAGAAGAATACAGGTTGTCATGATTCACAATATGCTGATAGCCTCTTAAGCTATGTAAGTTTTTTTTTTTAATGCAAGGCTTTCAAAAAAATTCTCTTTGCATCAAGATTTCTCATGTAATCATCTCATCATCATTTAAATTGGAGAAAGATTTATTTGACAATATTGTATGATGAGCTCATCAAGCGTAATCATTGAAATAATAAATTTTACTTAATTGTAGATTTGGAAGCATTGGAGGGATGACAAGTTGCTAGAGGCATAGGCTAGTGGGATCATACAATGAAGTGATCAAGTGCATCCAGATTGGTTTGTTATGTGTTCAAGAAAATCCAAATACAAGACCTTCCATGGCAACGGTTGTTTCATATCTTAGCAATGATTCTATTCAATTGCCCTTACCACAAGAATCTGCATTTTATTTGCAAGCTCAACCGGAGCTTTCTATTACCAATGGAAGTGGAGAATCGTGTTCTGTTAATGAAGCTTCTATAAGTGAATTCTTTTCTATCTAATTCAAGGCTTTTTATTTCCATGGTTTAGAATGATTGAGATTGGTGTTTGTTGGAATGGCTAATCACTAAAGAGGAGGTTAAATTGGGTGTTTTGAAATGTTTGATTTTTGAAGATCAAACTCAATGACACATCAAGAAGATCCAAAAATAGAGATGAATAGAGTTGATGAAGATGAAGAAGAAAATTCACAAGATTCGATCGGCTCCATAAATTTAATGTTATGTTTGGAATATGTGAAAGGAGTTTCAAGAAAAAGAGAAGAGAAAAATCTTAAATGCTTATTATTTATGTTTCTAAGGAAATGATGCTTCCCTTAAATACGGAAAGTATGTTCACTTCACTTTGGTAAAGGTAATGAATTATTTAACCTTGTTTCCAAGTTTTCCCTAAGTTATTTTGACTATTTTGCAAGAATTTTGGGGGCCAATTCTCGAATATGTTCATGTAAAGAGCCCATAGGAAGAAGAAGCAAATTTACAAGTGAAGAGAAGAAATTTCTTGTGGACTTTTTGAAGTCACATGTAAGCCTGTGTTTGGTATTTTTGGCTTTGGCAGAAAAATCATGGTTATCAATGCTTTGTACGACCATCAATTTGATAGTACTTTAACATATACACGTATATTTTGCAACATGATCAATCGATTGATGAACATAGATCAATAGATTGAAGAATTCGGCAGAAGCAATTCTTACTGTTTAACACAACCGTATCCATCAATTGAAGGACCAATATTCCTAATAATTGTACTTTTTTTTATTAATCGACATGGCTATCATCAATATTCAGTCATCTATGTCAGCAAATATTAATAGTATCACCTTCTATTTAAACAATGAGGACAAAATCGATAGCTGAGGCATTCCTAGGGGACCAAAAATTAATAAAAATTAAATTTGATAAACCAGATTAATAATTGAAACAAATTTAAAAGGGAAAAAGTTTCATTATGGCCTCTAAATTTCTTCTTATTTCACCACTCCCTGCGACACTACTTGATTATCTTAATACAAAATAAGAGATATATTATTTATTCCAGTTATTTAATCGTCTACCTAATAATGACTTTCCCTTCAGAACTAGGAAACAAGCAGAATGCATTTTCTTCAATCCTATTAAAAGGTCTTTGTCCAACTCTGTTTCCAGGAGGATCATAGATGCAGCCTATGAAAATGCCTGATTCATTGTAACACCTCACTTTAGCACACCCAACATAAACCGTGCTCTTCCAAACCACCTGAGTGTAGTGCCGGCACACCGTACCATTCACGCACGAGTTGCTATCATAGTCATAGTTCGCCTTCTCATCCACCCACAACTTCACAGCGTCGGTGCCAATCATCTGGTCGCCGGAGCTCCATGCGAGGTTCTCCCCGTACATGCTCGGAGCACCCAAGGAGTGAACCAGCTCGCAGTCGCCACGGCGTTGGTCGGCATAGTTCTGTGCCATATCTGCCATAGCATCATTCCAAACTATGTCTGGAACACCCACTTCTGATCTTGCTTTGTTGTGAGCATTTACATAGTCTTGTGGCGAGTCTTGAGCATAGGCATTCATGGCACAGAGATAGAAGAAGAGAGGAAATGAAAGTTTGGGTGATAGATGAAGAACTGTTTATAAGTCAATAATGTTGATGGAAAAGTCAATTGTGCTGCGGCTACTTTTTTTTTGCGCAAATTGCGATCGGCCGCTTGACACGCGTCAACTATTGAAGATATTTTGATCCACCATTGTTGAATGGTTCAAGGGGCATACTTGTCTACTTGATTCAAAATCATATATAAAAATTACAAATGTAAAAGTATTACGACCGTTTCATTATTGTTGATCTTTTTCTTTAATTGGCTCCCCAAAATTCAAAATCACTAGAGCCGAGGGGACCCATATTAAAGTAAAGACATTTTAGGGTCCTGCTTGAAGCCTTGAAGTGACTTTCCACGAGCTATTCATTTTACGAAGCCTCTAAAAATAAATTCTTCACTTGCATACAAAGTTTCTATCACTTTCTGTTTTTCTTATAACCATTCTTCTTGTTTTTTTTTTTTTTTTGACTAGCCATACATGGTAAGATCAGGCAACAACACTTAAAAGGAAAGTGAATTGGGCGTTAAGCAAATTTTTAATTTATAAAAGATTGATTGTCAAAATTGAGCTTGATCAATAGAGGAATCAAGGAGTTTTGTTGAAACAAGTTTAGTTAAGCTACTTAAAGCAAGAATTTTAACAAACAATAAATGAATTTTCAAGTCAAAGATTGAGGTTAATACCAAGTGTCCAAAATCAAGAAGGTAGTTAGACTGAAGTTTAAATATTCTTTTAAAAACATATTTGAAATATTCTAACAAAGATGAGTAAATATTGAAAACAAGGATATTGAAAACAATTATCAAAACAAAATATTAAAAACATTTTGTAACAAAGTTTTCCAAATCCAAGAAGCAAAAGAGATTAAACTTTGAAAAGTTGAATGTAAAGAGTAAGGGTAGATAAATTACATAGATCTATTCATCCTAACTAGTTAGGCCAATCACTTGACCTACATTTAGTCCTCAAAACACTTATTGAGATTTTCTCCATTTTAAAAACCACAAGTTTAATTGAGCACTTGTGACATACTGTAATCTCTCATTTCAAGACAATCAACACCTTACAATCACTTAGAGAAATCAACACCTTACAAAAGAAATCTCACTTAGACAATCAATGTTTCTTGATAAATTCTCTCTCAAAGAGATGATAGAAATAATAAAGTACACTCAAATAAACTCCCTCAAAGAATATATATATATGACAATTAAAGCCTATAAACTATAAAATTGATAGCTTTTCAAAAACTTATGCAAATGATAATAGAAATCAATTAATGCATCATAAAATCATTACCCACTCACTTAAATGATGTTCTATTTATAGTGTGAGGAAGATTAGAGTTGTTAGAGACTTTAACTAGCCATTTGGAGCCATTGCATTGCATGTAAATATGAAGAAACTAAGAAAAAAAACACTTTATATACAAAACTCATTAAATGCATGTCAAAACTCTAAAATTCTTGTTTTTAGATTCATCTTTGTATGGGCAAGTAATGCAAAAAGGCTTCAAGAAGACTTAGCTCAATGCACATGTGAAAATTCTCTAATACTCACGTGTTTTAAGAAGGCAAAAGAACAAGCTTCTTTGGAAACACTAAAACACACGTGTAGGCTATCTAGATCATGAGAGGAATAGATGCAAGAAGTGATTGACCTCTTGAAAACATAGAATGAAAGAGATTAACTTAGGTGACATCTAGAACTCGTGAGTGTTGGTTAGATAAGTTTTGAACATTTAGAATGAAAGATATTAACTTTTGTGTTCAAGGCTCAAACAAAGGCAACATTGAGTTACAAGCTGAAACTCATGTGAGTGTGCTACAACTCGCAAGGATGAGTAGGTTCAATGACTCAATTGCAATAGGTAGGCTAATACTTGTGAGGATAAGATCTAGTCCTTGTGAGGATGGGTACTTTAGAACTTTGCTTAACATTGTCACTTTGAAACTTGCATGTCACACCACTAAAACTCATGTATTTTAGGTTTCCAGAACCAAGCTCTTCTCTACCACCCTAAAACTTGTGTGTCTTAAAACTGAGACTCGCATGTTCTAGGAGTCTAGTGCCAAGCTTCGCTCTATCACTCTAAAACTAGCATGCCAAACTCTTAAGCCAGTGTCTTTGAGCAGGCTAAAGGGAATCTCTTCTCTTGAGTTATAAAATTCGTGAGCTCCAAATTGAAACTATAATGTTTTTGCATCACAAAATCAAAGGCATTCTGAAACTCTATAACTCGTGAGGTTTACTTTAATACTCATGAGTATGACATGAAACACTCAAAGAACAATCTAAAACATTTGACTGCATCACATGTTTTCTAGACTAGAACTCCTGAGGATGGATGAGATTAAAGCATGAAATGCACAAAGATATTTTTTAAATTTAGAAACCAAAAGTGTGTGTGAGAGCCTAAGACTTGCATGTCAAAAATGTTTTACCATAAAATGCAAATTCAAGCTCTCTTGTTCTTTTAACACTAAGAACTAAGAGAATGTAAAATAAAACTTATGACACTAATTCTTCTATTGTTCTAGCTTCTTTGCTCTCTTGAATTAGTTTTGTCATAATTGATTTTATAATCTACAAGCACAAAACCCTTTCTTGAGTTTTGTTATCATCAAATCAAAATATTCAACATATACGAGTTGCCAAAGAAAATAATAAGTCTTTCAAGATGAAGCGCTGTTATTGTGTTGGTTTTGAAAAATATTTAGAGAAATTATTCTTATATCTACACAAGTAATCTAAATACGGGAAAATATCATGAAATGATAAAATTACTTTAAAGTCTGGTATCCTGTACTAAAGCTATCAATTTGGTATATTGATGTTATAAATTATTGTGGAATAGTTTCACTAAAAAAAATTGTTGCCGAATAATTGCTAGAAGAATTATTCAATTGATAACTAAGTAACAATAATTAATCACTGTCTTATAATAATTGACAACTTTAATAAAGGGCATGAAACTTTAAGGTAATTTTGTAATTTTATAGGACATTTCAGTTGAGTGTGGTCACTCTTCTCACCGGTGAGTGTGAGTCTGTGAGATGGTAATGCGATCAACGTCATCATTTTTCAGGCATACGCTGAGCATGAATGAGAGTTAAAATTTAAATCAATCATTGGATGAAAGATATTAATAAAAAATTGAATAATAAATAAGAATTATTTTTGGGTATAAAGAAAATGTAATTCTCCCAAATAATCAAAAAAATAAAATTGGGAGTTAAAATTAGACTCAAGAAGAGAAGGAAATTTGAATATGAACGAAAGAAAATATTTGGGAGAATTGTGTTAATAGTAATGATTTGGAAATACTCAAAAGAATTAATTATAAGATTCCTAGTCTTGAGGATTTTTTAAAACATCATCTTATTCTTCCTACAAAAATTCCAACAATAGTGAAAAGAAACCGAGCTAAATTTTGAGCCCAAAATATAAAGGGCGTTTGTTCCAACGGAAGAGAACAATTATTTAGAGTATGTTTAATTTCTGTTCATAAAAAACTGTTTTCCATTTTTAAAAATAAAAAAATTAAAAAACTCATTTGAATAATTGTTTTCAAAACCGTTATCATTCAAAAAAACAAAAAAAATGAAAACATCTTAACATTATTTTTATTTTATTTTTCTTATTTTTCAAATTACATTACATTTGATTATTAAAAAATATAATTTGTTTGACCAATTTCTATTATAAACTATCATAATTAACCACATGTAACTATGATTATTTGCCTATTTTTTAATTCCAAAATTATTTTTAAATTAACCTAACCAAATATATTTTCATTTCATTTTATTTAAAAATAATTATATAAATTATATTATAAAATAATTCTTAAAAATAAAAAACAAAAACTGAAATCAAATAGGCCCTTACTTTCTTGGATTATATCTTGGGTTAAATACATTGGGCTTTGGCATTGAAGAGCTCAGGAGTTATTAGAACCCACTTGCAACTCATGTTACCAAAAAACAATTCAATAATTCGCCTAACCAAAAAAAAAAAAAATTCAGTAATTCCTTCCTCCTTCATTTTTCCGCAAGGCAGCATTGAGTGGGGGAAAGAGAGAATTGTTTGGGCATTCATGCCGGATAAAGCTGAAAGAGAGAGAGAGAGAGAGAGAGAGAGAGAGAGAGAGAGAGAGAGAGAGAGAGAAACCCAGCCAAATGCTTTTCAATCTACATAAAAACCCACTTTCATGCCAAGGGTCTCAACCCGGCCCCCCCAAAAAAACATTATGAGGCCAGAAAGGGCCAAGATGGTTCTCGCTAGGAGAGAAGCCTGGAACTTTGCATATGTGAAAATTGTAATAAAGGATATTGAAAACTCATCATTTGATTTAGAAGTTCGGTGTATTGAGAGCTCTTTTGAGTTTTGACACGCTCGTGCACAAAAAACACAACAAATAATTTTTGGCACATCCAATGACACTATACATATGTGGCTATGGCACCATCATGATTCAGATATTTTGAAGAATAGCAATGGCATGCCTGGTGTGCGTAAGGGTGCCTAATCCCTTTCACACCGACAAAATCAATATTTAAAAATATTTTGTTAATATTTGAATGCTCAATATCTATAATTTTCTTATTAATGAAACTAATAGTATTAGAGTTAAAAGATTAAAAAATATTTTTAAAAATTAAGATACCAAAAGAAAATTTTATGCAAAATTATATAACTAAAACAGTACTTTTACCTGATGGTTATAAATATGTACATGCATATTATAAGGTTTGCTATATATTCAATAAGTGTGAACAGTGTCACTTGTTTTTTGAATTCAGTATAGAATTCATGTAGCTGGCCAACCAATCAAGTTTTCTTTCAAATATGCAGTCTCATCTTTTCTTCAATTAATTTATCATCGGTTAAATGATTAATTTATATTTTCTGCTCTATTTGGAAAAAGAACGATACGTAATATTACTATATTTGGACAGTCCATTTAATTTAAGCCGTATAAAGTTCTATTTATTTAAAAAGATTAAAAT